CTCTTGGTGTGTGTTTTATGTTGTTGTCTGTATGCAGGGGTGAAAGTATAGGTTACTGAGTGTACGAGTTCGTGTACGAGACGCTGGTTTATATAGGATAACCAGGAAGCCCCGTCTCTCAAACAAAGCAGCACTGAAAGCAGTTAAATTTAAACACAGAAACCCCTCCTCTCAAACAAGAAACACTGAAAGCAGTTAAATTTAAACAAAGCTTATCCTGAAGCAGAAGGAAACAAAATGGATTCCTGCTTCCTCAACTTCTGTGGGAGCCCAGCTGCTTGCTTTCCCACAGGCCTCACCCCTCTGAGGATGCCTGCCATAGAGAGGAGTGGGCGGGAATGCTTCTGCCACATGGCCACGCAGTCCAGAAGACTCACAGCAACACAGGGATTCCGGCCATGAAAGCCTTCGACAACAAAATGCAGAATATCTTTGGCTGATAATGTGAAAACCCGGTGAATGCAAAACCCAGAGACTCCGTGGCCAGGACTGGGATTTCCTCTGGATGAGAAAAGGCCTCTCCCTTCCTTTCCAGGAGACCTTCTCTCGTGGCCTGGCCAGGTTCTCAGGAGTGCTCAGGAGATGAGGAAGGGGATGCGGGGAGAGACCCAGGGCCCAGAGTGTCACCATTTGGAAGCCCCCGAAAGCCTTAGGAGGACCTGGCAAGGGAACCCCAAACCTTTTAGAAATGTATTGAATTATATTTTGGGGCCTGCTGTATTCATAGTGTCTCAAATGTATGGTGGAGGCACCTGGTCCCCTTTCCTTCTATGTACATACAACCCTGGGAACAGAGAGTCCTCCACCACCAGTAAATATCCCTCTAGCGATCTCCCAGCCTAGACATAGAATCCCTTTTGTGTGAAAGTGATAGACAATCACTTTATCAGTTGGGCTGTTTTACACTGATTGCCTGGCCAGGTGTGTCCTGAGGTTTAGGATTCCCACAGAAGAAAAAGGTAAGCAAAGATGAATAAATTAGCCTTTTGAGTGGGTACCTGGCCCTCTGGCATTATCACTTTTTGTCTTCTGTGCCTGGCACTGTTGTC